CAGCCCCAGCCCAAGAAACAGATTCTTATTAAACCTAAGGAAATAACTATATTACCGTAAAATAAGAATATTCACCATAAATTTTAAAATTTTTCAGGGATGATTAAGTAGGGAGAAAGGAAAGGTTGTAATTTCCTTTTGGAGTATACTTTACCAAATCTCTATAATCCATAAATAGCCCCAAATAGAAAAAGAAAAAATTTCTGTGTCTGACAAACAAAATAATTTGCCAGGTGCTTTTTGTTTTGTTTTGTTTTGTTTTGTTTTGTGTGTGTGGTGCTGGAAATGGAACCCAAGGCCTCACACATGCTAGGCAGGTGCTCTACCACTGAGCCACACCCCTAGCCCATACATACATATTTTAAACATCCAGAAACAATAAGCTTACTGAAATAATTTCAAATATCTATAGATGAATTTCTCATTCTTAGACTGGATAACAGGTAAAGCTCATAATTAAGCAAATAAATGCAATTGAAAATATATAAATATTCATTTTACTTCTAAGGGTTTTATAATTTTAAAAATGTTATTGATAGGGGCTGGGGATGTGGCTCAAGCAATAGCACGCTCACCTGGCATGCATGCGGCCCGGGTTCGATCCTCCAGCACCACATACAAAGAAAGATGTTGTGTCCGCCAATAACTAAAAAATAAATAAATATTAAAAAATGTTATTGATAGGAAGATAAATGAATGTGGAATTAGAAGTGTTTGGTCATATTAATTCCTACTGCTTATTAGGAGTTTATACAAACTCAGGCACCTGGTTTTATCTTTCTGAATGTCAGTCAATTCATGTGTAAAATAGGGATAATAGTACTTACCCTGCCAACGCCCCAAAAGTGTTGAAAATTGGAAACAGAGTATTAATGTTGGGAAGAACATGGGCATTTTAGTTAGAGTCTGAGAGAGCTAAGGTTAGGATCTCAGTTGTGATCCTTACTAATCTTGTGACCCTGTGCCACCGATAGAGTCCCTCACACCTTGGGATATTTTCATCTGTGGACAAGGGTTCTGAAATTCCTGATACTTCAGAACCATTCAGAAAAATG